GGTGAATCCGGAATCGGTGGTGGCTACAGGGGCGTTCGACACTAGCCAGTACAGATTTATGCGAAAAGGCGTTATAGGGGACTGGCATACGGTGTTTACCGATCAACAAAGTGCTCATTTTGATGAGGCCTACAACGAGAAACTGCGAGCAATGGGACTAAACATGTGTTACGATAGCGCCGATGCCGTTCAACTTATGGCGACTAGTGGTCGCTGCATTTTTAAAGCTCATAATTGAACAAGTTAATATAATATAAAAAGTCTATTATTTAGCCTAGATTTTTGATTTAATTATTAATATTAATTATATGAGTAAAGGAAGTTTAAAAGGAGTGGCAAGAAATATCCACAGAAACTTAAATATTGCCGGAAATAAAATTGATTATGAGTATGGATAACAAGTTTAGCAAGTTGTACTTAAGTATTATAGTATATATTGTATTATAATGTATCATGTATTAAAATATTTTTTATATGAAAATATTTTATTAAATGAATATAATATATCATACATAATACAATATATGCTACTTTAGTACAACTTTCTGAACTTGTTATCTATACTCATAATCTTCTTTCCGGCAATATTTAAGTTTATGGGAATATTCCTTCCCACTCCTTTTAAATTTCCTTTACTCATATGTAGTTATTGAATGCCCTCTAAAACAGTAGAGGTAAAGATATTTTGAGACTTTATTATTGTATTATTAACTGAATTGAGTTAAAAATATCTAATCATTAATGCAATGATTCATGAAAATATGCATTGAATCCTGTTTGTATGCTTATATTATATGAGTAATATAAATATTTTATTTTATAAGAATAATATTCCTTAAATAAAATTTAGTATCAAATTTGCGATAATTTTGTTTAAAACAATGCCTGCTATATTTTTAATAGGACTATTAATTATGGCAATTGTAGTTGCTTATATTTTATTGTAAGTAGCATTCAATTAACTGGAATATAATTGAAAACAAAATGACATACGACCGACATTTAAGTGTTTTATACAATTCAGATATATAAGTGGTGGCTATAACTATTGGAGTAAGCAGGGTATTCCCGGTCCAAACGCGGTACCGATATTTGGAAATTTTCTCGACGCGTATTTCATTCCGCAAAAGGATCTTGTTATTAAATGGCATCAAAAATATGGACATATTTATGGGTAGATGTTTTCATATATTTATATTTTATAATTTTATAATAATGTAATATCAATTATTTGGTGTAATGCTATATTTTTTCAAACAACCCAGTCACTTCATGGGCAAACTACCAGTGCTCAATGTGGTCGACCCGGAGCTAATCAAACTAATTCTGGTGAAAGATTTTCACATATTTCCCAATCGGAGCAAAGTGTGGAAAAAGTGCGACGACTCCATACGTAACAGCGATATGTTTCACATGGGGTACGACGGGTGGCGACGCGTGCGACCGATCGTTACGACGGCGTTCACGACCTCTAAGATACGCAAAACGTACGCAACCATAAGCGCGTGCGCACAACGATGCACCGAATATTTAGATATATTAACAACCAATGAGAGCGATTTAGATGCCTGGGTGGTTTTTGAAAAATTGGGACTGGATGTTATGGCTAGTATATTATATTATATTATAGTATATAATTATAATTTAACATATTACTAGTAGTCTAATTTTGAATTATTTTTGGTTTACAAGTTATACCTAATTAATTATGCTATGCTGTCTGTAGTTATATTTTATTTCTTCTAAAAAGTTAAAAAATATACAGTATTATTGTAGGCTGCTACACTGTTCTCGGTACACCTTGATAACATTTATGAACGAGATGATGATCTATTTGTGGTTGCAGCAAGGCAAAAGTCCAATTTCAACGCCTTTCGTGAATTCTCGGCTATAATTTTGCCGCAGTTTGTGAAACGTTTGTTACAGACATCGGCCGACACTAAAGCCATTGAATATTTTGTCGATTTTATTCGACATATCGTTTCCCAGAGACGACAACACAACCATCAAAAGTGAGGCATAATTCATGAATAAGTTTAAAATTAGCCGTGAATTTCAAATATTAAAAATTATGACATTTTATTATATTAATAACCTTAATAATTGTAGATGTTGCTTACTTTTTTGGGATTTAATTTAGTAATTGTCAAAATTGTACATGTTCATTAATGAGTCAATTCCGTAGGTCTCATAACGACTTCACTCAACTACTCATGGATGCTATTCAAGAGGACGACATTAATGGGAACGGTATGTGTAATGAGTTATATTGTAATTATTAATAATTAAAATAATTTTGATATTAAAACTTAATTCATATAATAATAGCTGAAAATACGAGCGATAAGTCTAAACGGCTTTCAGAAAACGAAATCATCGCACAGTCTCTGCAATTCATATTAGCCGGGTATTCGTCAATTCAGGAGGTGCTGGCCTACACCTCCTATCACTTAGCTCTTAATCCAGGCGCTCAACAGCGTCTATACGATGAGATTATTGGTGCCATGGATTCGTACACCGAAAATATTCCTTACGACCGGTTGGCACGACTACCCTATTTGGATGCCGTCCTGTCAGAGACATTGCGCCAACACTTACCGGCCCTACCGTTGGCACGAATCGCCTCAACTGACTATAAATTAGGCGAAACCGGTGTTACCATCAAAGCGGGACAACAGGTGGAGATACCGGCCTATGTTATACACCATTCACCGCAGTTTTATCCGGACCCATTTAAATACGACCCTGACAGATTTATGCCCCAAAATAAGAGCAAGTTAGTTCCCTATACGTATTTGCCATTTGGTGCCGGCCCACGCAATTGTGTTGCCACTAGATTTGCCTTGCTTATTGATAAGGTGTGTATAGCACATGTTGTTCGCCGGTTCCGTTTCTACCGGTGCCCTCAAACTGATGTTCCCATACATTATAAGCGCTTTATTCACGTTATGTCACCGAAACGTGTTATCGTCGGAATTGAAGCAAGGTTGTGAATACTTAAATACCGTACTATAAAACACATTTTACTATTAATATGAAGTTATATAAAATTGGTTTAATTAAAAATTTTTTTTAAATATATTTAATCAAGTGTCTAGTTTAAAATCTTTATTTAATAACTAATAATTTTTTTTAATTATTTATTTTTATTTAAAGTACTTAAAGTATTTTAAAGTATTTTAAAGTATTTTAATTATTTTTAAAGTACTGTATACATTCTACATTTATATTAATAAAAATCCTACCGATACTATCGATAATCTACTTTATATTAACAAGGTAATAGACATTAATTGCTAGTACAGTATATTTCTTAGTCGATGTTTTAGACAATATTGTAAACTCTATTACCGCGGTAGTATTTTTGTTAAGCTTTTTTATTATTTTACAAATATTTGCTATTTATTTTGAGCCCCACTTAGCCCGGGGTCCAGTCATTGGCCACGACTTATATTTCGACGATTTTCGGTACGCGGCGATTGGCCCCAGATTTTCAAACCGACATAAATAACGTCCAATAATCGGGTGCTTATCGACACTAATTGGCGCAAACACTCGAAACCAATCCAACACTTCATAGGCCGTGAAGTCTATGTAAGACAACTGATCGCCAATCAGCCACTCGTTGTCCCCTAAAAACTCCGCCAATAGGTTGAGCTGATTGTCGAGTATACCTGTGCAGTAGGCATCCCTTCGGCGCTCCCAGTCTTCGCGCATAAGTATCTCATAATGAAAATGGGATTTCATATCATAAATATGCTGTTCAGCCATATCTTGTCGCCGGTGAGCCGGTTCATCGCCATCAACCGCATAGAGTCCGTACTTTCTGCCTAAATATCTCATTATTGCCGTACTTTGTGTCAGCTTTTTATCGGAGTCTATATAGTAGGGAAGGTTCGGGAACTGGAGTCCGAGCGCGTGCTTATCCAACAGCCAGTCCTCAGTCGACCCGTAACGGCGATCGACGAACTCGACGCCCGCGTACGTCAATAAGTAGCGTATGGGTTGACCCAAACCTCGTATATCCCTATAGCCGAGTATCGGTAATACAGGTGCCGACATGGCATATGAGGGTTGTGTACTTATTTTAATTACAACATTTAATTTAAATATGTAATTAAAATACGATTTGCCTTGAACAAAAATATATAAAGGGAATTACAAATCAAAAGTAAAACAATGAGCTAGCAAAATAACATTGTGGCACTATTAATATTGTTTAGGGATTTCAATATTAATGTGTTTTAAATTAATGTAATTTTTACTAATTATAAATACAGTATACTGGATGATTGAAAGCAATGTTCAAATAATTTTAAAAAGAAAACCAAACTGTTAAATTATATAAACAAACTATTTATGTTTAACATACACAATAAAGAATCTCAAAATAAATTAATTTAATAGAGAAAAATTAATCTAGGACATTTTTAAATCTTATTAGACAGAACTTCACAGATAGCACATTTTAATTTTGTCGACCTATATCAGGATTCAATGATACAGTAACCGAAGATATGAAATAATGCTAATCATTTTGAATGATAAATGAGTTTTTATATTTTCATAAATAGATTTAATTTAGAAATATTAGTCAATGTTGTCTATTGATGGCTATAATGAACACATTTATATGGCTTAAAATGTTTTACAAATTAATTATTATATTATATTTGTCTCTCATTTGTATAACACATTGCAATACTAAACAATTGCCAAATGTTATCATATTTATTGCGGACGACATGGGATGGGCTGACGTGGGCTACCACTCGGACCACGTGCTCACCCCTAACATCGACACACTGGCGGCCGATGGCATAGTGTTGAACC